CCGTATTAAGTTTGAAGAATTGATTAATAATGGAAAAAGAATACTCAATGATATGAGTAGTTTTTTGACTTTTTTCTGGAACTTATGAACTTTTAAATGCAATACGTATTATATACTCCGTAACCTTTTCTCTATATTATCATGTAAAATAGAGTTCGATGGTTTTTAAATAGAATTAGATGGTTTTAACTACAAAGTCAACATACAATAATTCGGTGACTAATCTTTTTTTTTTTTTGAAAAGGATCCTAATCATATACCTCCAAATTATTTCATTATTACATGTAAAAGGTTTCTTTGATGAGAAACAAGACTCTATGGCCTCTAGGCTGCCGCGACTAACAAGTGACAGACTTTCGGGCTAATGAATTACACCTCACTTTAGAGTTCTCCTCTATAGTCTAAATTTGAAAGGATTGTTCTCAAAAAATGAAGTTCTAAAACCCTCGAGTCTAGTTTGGATAATCGTACTACGTACGGAGTATATATAATACTCCGTATATCCGTGTTTTCTCTTGTCACAAAGGACACTGTATGGTTAACTTCAATTCTTGGGGAATATAATAGTGTTTAGTATTTATAATAATGTTTAGTAGTTAAAATGTACTCCGCCGTAATTAGTATTTATGAGTTGTGGAGGTCTATGGATGACATTAGGAAGCTCACAAATTTTGTACTTGAAATTTACTCGGACACACAAGAGTTTGGAGTGTGATATTTAGAGTCCATAATTAATACTCATTGTGGAACCTGGATACACCTAGTGCTAATCTAAAAGGATGAAAAGGACTTCTAATTTTAAGATACCACATTCATGCCACAAAATCAAGTCAAAATGATTTTTCTTTCTGAATGATGGTCAAATTTAACCGATAACTTTAATATAATTTTCTTTTCAAAATTTAAAACTTATATGAAAACGTTCTTTGTTAACGATGCTTTTATAAAAGTATAAATTTATAAATTTGACACAAACATAATAGTTAAAATGATTGTTCAAAGTTTATTACTCCATCCATTCCATAAAATTCTTATCACTTACGAGTACGGAGTATATTTGGGATGTCCCAAAAAAGTATTCTCATTTCCTCCTTTTGGAAAGTTTTGTGTAACTAGCATTCATATACTTTTTCTTACTAAACAATAACCACACAATTTTATTTTATTCTCACTTTCTTAAATTCCGATCCAAATCAAATCAAGAAGAATTTTATGGAATGGTGGGAATATAATTGACTAGGAAAAATCAATTTGACTAGGAAATATAATTGTGAGAACAAAAGTTTTGGTTTAGGATGGTCTGATCAGCAGAAGAAAGTGTTAAGACTCGAGACTCATTTTTTTGGATCGTGTCATCATTCAATTTTTTTCATCGGTCCGTTATTTTTTTCATCCAGCCGTTATATAATCACGTCATCATCATTTTTCATAAGGGGCCCAACACCATGGATCGATTTGACTCTGATACCATGTTAAGACCCGAGGTTCCATCCTAAAAGGTTAACCTTATAGCAGGAGTAACCCATGTGTTAATATAACACTTTGTCCATTCAAACTTTTCTGGTGTGTGACAACAGAAAGACACTCAGCATCGTTGACAAGAGAGTCAGATTAAGCTGGTTTTATTCCTCTCGACAATTATCCTTGTGCAGTCTCCTTCGTAATATATGTAGAAAATAAAACTAATTGCTGGATCGGTTGCTCCTTCAATTCTATTCCTAAATTATAATCCATTTGACAAGAAGTTTAAGAAAATGCAAAAAATTTGGTAGGTTACTTGGTTTTTATTTTAATTTGAAAAGATATGAGGCACATGTTGTTTTTATTAAATTAAATCTAGTCCTGACATTGAAACATGCAGAAAAGAGAGGAGTACTGGAGTATGAAAACGATCGATAGAATTAAAGATATGACTGAGGTTAATGAATTGGGCCACTTTGAGAGCCCGTTTGGAGACCTCTTTTTTCGGCTTATCAGGCTTATCAGCCAGCTTTTTCACCAAACACGTAATTTTTATTTTCGCGTGCTGAATTGTGTAATAAGTAGAAAAAGTAAGGTTGAAGTTACTTTTCTGACTGTATTGGCTGAAGTTACTGTAGATGACCATTTTAGCTATTTTTACATGTAATTTTTTCTTTATTTTATTAATAAAATATATTTTTAAAATATTTTTTTCTAGAATCAGCAGAATCAGCCAAAACAGCCACTTCAGCCAGAACTTCATAAATTTCAGCAGAAACAGCCAAAACAGCCAATTTTCGTGCTACCAAACGGGCTCTGAATCTAACAGATTGATCTGATTACCGGTTTAGGAAAATTCCATTCCTCCACGCCCAATTTTTACACGTTACACGCCGATCAAATTGTCTGTGTACAGACAATTTGATTGGCGTTTGACAAAGAAAATCGATTTGCACATAGACAAAAATAAAAAAATTGTCTTTAACACAGACATTTTAAAATTCTCGTCCAAAATATCTGTGATACAGTCAACTCTTTGTTTTTATCTGTGTGGAAATCGATTTTCTTCATAAAATGTGTACACGAAGTGGGACTCACTGTTTAATAGGCTCTGACCAACCAAATTAAGTAAACGGATTGGACCACGAGGCAGTGCCAACCTGAAAGCTAGGGCTTTCCTCCAGACAAACAACAAGGAATGGACATTTAGGCATATTACGTATAATGGTAATCCAAATTTCCAAAATAAGTTTTAATGCCATAATTAATAGGATTATCGATTGGGTTTAGCTCAATCAACCGAGTCATAAGATATTTTGACCAAATTAAACTACACTATTATTAAACCTAACATTCGATGTACTAGCTTAATTGATCAGACCTAATATCGTATTAGGATGTTTTCTTTTGGACTGAAATTTGCTGGTATGATCTGGTCTGGTCTGGTCTGGTCTGGTAAACGTCTGGTCTCTGTTTATTTTATAACTACGGAAGTCTGGTCTGGTTTAGTCTGATCTGATTTGGTCTGGTCTGATCTGGTCTGAGACTGAAAACCATCATTCTATTGTCTTTTAATTTTCTTTTTAGCCATGGTATGAAAAGAAACGGGGAGCAAGGCCCAGCTAACTACTTCGTATTTAGGAGTGCTTTTAAATACGATAGTACTTTTTTAACGCAAAGGAAAAACTTTTGTTAAGAAAAGAGATGAGTACAATGCGAGAAATTAAAGAAAGGAAAACAGTAGAGAAAAAGCGGGAAACACAAATTCTAGTCTCACGGAATTTTTTTGACTGTCATCTAATCTTCATGCTATAGTGTCATTATTTTAAGTGTTTTTTTTTTCGTTTATTTTGTAAATTAATCGTTAAGCAATTTAAGTTAAAAGCAGTAGTACATAGTAGTTGGGATGCTTAAAAATTCTTTCTACTTTTTGTGTAACACAATAAAGTATTCCCTCGGTCTGGACTTAAAAAAACAAACATATAACATCATAATTATCATCAATGACCTTTTTATGTTATACTTCCTATGTAGTCATCAAAATTAGTTCTAAAAACATACTCGAATTATCTTATTTAATTATTGTCTAAATAGTCATTCATTTTTGAATGTGAAACTTAAAACGAAATGGATGTAGTACTACATACGATAGTATATAGTATATAGGTATATATAATTTTATTGGTTTCTATGTATGAAATTGATAAATAATATGCACGCATAATTTGTCCATTTCATCATACAAGTAGGATATTTCTAAATAGAATGGTTTCAATCAGAGATGAGATCAGATCCGCCGATTAATTGAAGTAGAACAAATTAGATTAGAATTTGATAATATTAATAATAAAGTACGCATACAACATCTATCAAATTAGAATATATCAAAATTAAACAAATTAAATAAGATTAGAAAATTTCTATCTAATTAATTAAAGAAAATATTACCCGAAATATTACTAAAAAGGTTTGAAAATTCTAAAATACGACTGTCATGTTTTTATTTCCAAAGTATGACTAATTAGTGTCATGTTTTGGCAGTACCAGATTTCAAACATGGCAGTATTTTCCAAACTTGGCAGTAATTACTCCTATTTTGGGAATAAAAAACATGACAGTCCTATTTGGGACTGTTTTAGTCCTATTTGGTAACTTTTCCTTAATTAAAACAAAAAAACATACCCAAGTAAATTCAAGTTATTCTGTGATGATAGAACATGAATGTTCTTTTTTATAAAAAAAGATAGGTACAAAATTCATAAAATGGCAATACATAGGAACCTTGAGTGTACTACGGCTGTGTTCGTTGTGCACTTTCAGCCCATAATAGGCTGAAATTTCTGAAATTCAGCTCATGAATGTAAAAGTAGTAGTGTTTGGATAGGAGGCTGAATTTAGCTGAAGCTGAAAATATTGGACTGAATTCAAACGTTAAGGAGTAAAGCGTTTCTCCTCAGCCGATGAAATGATGCACCCCCATTCCAAAATTATCCCCGAGCTCACCATCCTTCTCTTCCCACCAAAAAATTGCAATTGGCGATAATTATCTTCCGTTTCTTTCTCAAATCATCGACCATGAAAAATCTGAATCGCCTGTTTCTCTTTATCCGCAAAAGTGGAAATAGATCAATTAAAGCCTAGAGCATCTTACCCTTGAACGGTTTGAGCACAAGCCAACTTGTTGGGTTAGCAGCAGCAGATGTGTTTTGTTTAAGATTTGTTTGAGGGCATATGACTTTTATTTATTTTAGCTTTCAACTTCTGGGGCTTGATTAATTTTGTGGTATTCTTTGTAAAATTAGTGGAACTGTTCTTGATTGGTTCTCCATAATTTGTATGGAGGATTGAGTACTCTTGTTAATGTATATTACTGCTAAACACATACGTGTGTGTTCTTCCATCGTATGGAGTAATATTTATTGGGAAAATATTACTATAACAAATATTTTAATTTAATGTATGATATACCCTTTAGTGTAATTTTATATTTTCCGTATTCATTTCAGCTCTTTTTGCCAAACGGATCTATCTCATTCAGCTAACAATTCAGATTCAGCACTTTAAAATTCAACTCCAGACAACAGTCTCTGATTCAGACAATAGCCCGTAATTCAGACATTAGTATCCAGTTTCAGCTGGTTGTGCCAAATATAGCCTACAGCTATACATTTTGTCCACTATTGGTATAACAACAATTCATTTGTACGTTAGCCATAGCATTCAAGCTCTTTAGAAATAACTTGGATGGATGTCCTTATTACATTTATCGTACACGTCACCCTTAATTCTCTAAAAAGTACCTCCAATTTCCGAATGGAAGAAAAACTATTAGAACAAATTAAAATTACAAATATTTGTTGATTGGAAGTTTGGAACATTTATAATCCGTATTAAAATTTTGTTACAACAGTCACGGCCCAGTCAGTAATAAAGGTTGCCACATGCCGCCGCCTAGAAACTCTCTCATTGCAAGAACCGCGGCGGCGGCGGACAACAGCTCCGGCCACCGGAGTAAAATACCCATTGAGAGCAGAGCTGGCTTTGACGGCGAGCCTACACATATCCTGAAGAGTCAGTGGGGAGTGCGACTTAGAAATGGGGAGGAGAAAGTAGAGTTGACCGATCTGCAGGTCTTCGTCTTTCGATACTTGAGGTATTTCTGAGTCAACGCTCATGGACTCCGAGTTTGAGAGGAAGCAATTCGGGTTCTCCGATAAAACGTCGGCGGCCTTCACGGGACGGCGACACTCGAGTAGCTCGCCGTTCTCGTGGACCACCATGGCGGCCGCCGCCGCCGGAGTATTATTTAGCAGAAATCTTCCACTTTGCCACCCCAAGATGTGTGAAGAAGCGCAAGTCCCCATTTTTTGGCAATTAAGATGAGAAGATTATACTGATAGAGAAAGTATATGATGAGTGAATTGAAACTCTAATGAGTTGCTGAGGTTTGGTTCGTATGAGGTCTTATATACGCGGAGTCCGAGAATTATTTACGGAGTATTGATTAATGTATTTATTTAATTATTATTTCTGTTTACTCGTTTTACTGTATCTTTAGCTGTTGTAAAGTTACAATTTTTTAGTTCACGTTCACACAGAAACTTCGTGCAATTTATAAAATAGTTTTGACGTACGTAAGAAGGTTATATACTTGGCAATGATGTACTCCGTATTTTTGTTGTGACGTTGCCGTACTTTTCACTTTTAGGTGTATATATAGTATGTTCATTTTTTAATGATTTTAGTGGCCTATGTTTTACCTAATTAAAGTTCTGCCACATGCATTACACTATTAGCCTGATTCTATTTATCGAATTAGACATCACACTCCTAGATTGTAATTAGTACTATCGTATTATTTTTTCCATTAAAAGATATTGAAATACTAGGTATTATTTTAATCTGATTGATCGTATACAAATTTGTTACTCCCTCCGTCCCTAAATGTTGTTCCAATTGCGGATTACGAAGATTGACCGACGATAAAGTTAAATGATACCTGTGAAAAATCGGATTATTTTTAGTAAATAAAATTTACATATTCAGAAACTACATTAAACCTGCTACAAAGCCTGCAAAAAATAATTCAACTTTTATAAAATTTTGATATAAAAAGTAAGAGTTTAAGAGTGATTTAAGTTGACCCTCGATAAGCGAAATGAAATTTCTTTTAAGGACAGAGGGAGTATCATTTTTTTTGCTACACCCGAAAATAAAAATAGAAAAAATTTAAATCTAAGACTCTAATCCATTAGCATCCTCCAAAGATGATTTTGTTTGATCCAATAGCAAATTTGTTTGATTTAAGAATGGAAAGACGCTTTGACGCTACATGTGCAACATTTCCGACCCTATCAGCACATTTATTTGCTTCTCAATGAATATGTTTAATGTGAACAATCATCAAGCAGTCTTTGGCAATCTCAAACTAGAACTTCAATATTTGCTGTCCACGAACCATGCCTTCTCTTGAGGGCCTTTATAATACTTTTCGAGTCCACTTTCACGACCTCTCCCTTCAAAATATCTCTCTAACCAACGACAACCTCCGGCGAAGTCACCAAAGCTCCGCTTTAAAGCTATTAGTTTTACCAATGTTCAATGTGAAACCCAGAATCCATTTCCCTTTGTGATTTCGAATCACTCCACCAATTCCTACTTATCTACCATTATCCCACGTCACGATTCAACTTCAAGGATTCAAGGTCTGGCAGAATCCACTTAATATATTTGCCCATCTTTAATTGTTTGATACCGGCCCTAACTATTACATTGTTATACTCCCACCATCCCAAATTATTTTGCAAAGTCAACATTTTTTTGTCAACTAATAATAAAAGTCAATGCTCCGTATCGATAATTATTTCAATTTTTAATAATTAAAATCTATATATTCAGAAACTACATTAAAATCTCTTCAAAGTTGTAAACTCCAAATTAGAATATAATTAAAATTTGACATCATAATTAAGCAAATAAAATGACACTGTTTAACTAAGAAAAGTCAAATTTGCAAATCAATTTGGGACGGAGGTAGTACTCCTCTGCATGCACATACGTGTTCCTCACCATTCGACCTGCATCGAGCTGTCTAGGATGAACACCTTCAAAAATCCAAGCGTTAAGAGCTTTCCATATACACCAAATGACAAGCAAACCTGAAAGTGTGGGAAATTTTGCCCGAAGTTCTTCCCTTTCCTTGACAGTGCCTCTGTATCCATTCCAAACTACATTGAGAAAGCAATCTACCGCCCTAGTTACACCAAAAGCAGCTTTGTTCCAACATGTAGCCGCAAATTTAGTCACACATCCTATGAAGAACAATTTCCTCTTGAGTGTTGCAAATAGGGTAAATGCATCATAAAAAATTATTGATATGGCGGGAAGCGCATTTAATGCTGGAGATTTGGTGGTTGGGACCTCATCCATCCATAGCTCTCCGCATCAGCAAGTCCACCTGCCCCCAGACAGTATAAATAGCAACAATTATTTCATTCTAAAGAGTTGGCAATTTACCCGCCTTAGCATTCTAGCATTCACATAGCTCGTGACACTGTCTTTACTAGTGATATAGACGAACGGCTGAAGGCCAGATAGCATTAGCGTGTTGTAACATATCCTTATTATCAGTTAATAAGATACGGTCCACTATTGCAGATACATTTTAGCCCATATGATCACTCTGTCATCTTTATTTGATGGCGAGCTCATTTATAGGCCCCTCGGCCATGTATCACCCTCTCATCTTTATTTTTTGACATGGAACTCTCATATAGGCCCCTCGGCCATACATCGCCCTGTCGTCTTTATTTGATGACGTGAAGCTTTCATACAGGCCCATCGGCCAAACATCGCCCCATCATCTTTATTTGATGACATGGAGCTCATGCAATCTCTGCCATGTGCCTCTCGGCCATCCCTCCTAGCCGTCTTTATTTGATGGCACAGAGTCTAGACAGGCCTCTCGGTCACACCTCGTAGTCATCTTTATTTGATGGCGTGGAGCTCATATCGGCCCATCGACCATGTATCGCCCTCTCATCTTTATTTGTTGACATGGAACTCTCATATAGGCCCCTCGTCCATACATCGCCCCGTCGTCTTTATTTGATGACGTGGAGCTTTCATACATGCCCATCGGCCAAACATCGCCCCATCATCTTTATTTGATGACATGGAGCTCATGCAATCTCTGCCATGTGCCTCTCGGCTATCCCTCCTAGCCGTCTTTATTTGATGGCACAGAGTCCAGACAGGCCTCTCGGTCACACCTCGTAGTCATCTTTATTTGATGGTGTGAAGCTCATATCGGCCCATCGGCCTTATATTCTGGTCATCTTTATTTGATGAACCGGACATCATATTATGGACGATCGCTCGACTCCCTTAGTCATGTTTATTTGATGACTATGTCTACTGATCATGACAAGCTACCCGTAGTTGCAGCTGCATGCAGTGGCGGAAGAGCTCACCCTTTTGCTTGATTATGAACAAGACCTCGGGATGCTAATCAGACAAACAAGACCCTGAGCTGCTAACCGAAAAAACAAGACCCCGGGCCGCTAATAGAATAAAGAAGACCTCAGGATGCTACCCAGACGAAGGAAATCCTATCCTTTTGTAAGCAATGGGGATCAATGTGGACAGTATTGCATCTGACCTTTCTAGATAATAACCTGGTTGTACATCATCAGCGGATAGCTCGGCGGCCAACATCTCCCGAGCATACCCCAGTTTGCCAACACCGGCGAACGTCTATGTGATTATCTTCTCCCGAGCATACCTCGGATCTCCATCCTCAGCATACAACTGCGACCAGCCTTCTCCAAGCATACCTCGGCTCAGCATCATTAACAAATAATTATGCAAGTGGTGTCTCCCAAGCATACCTTGCCTCGACCGACACCACTGGAAAACAACCGTGTGACTTGCCTTTTCGGAACATATCTCAGCTCGACATCATCAACAAACAAAGTTGTTAGGTGGTCTCTCCTGAGCATACCCTGGCTTGATCGACACCACTCACAAACAACCGTGTGACTGGTCTTTTCGGAACATATCTCGGCTTACAAGTAAAGCAGGCACTGAACCAAGAACCGAGGGGATTGACCTTCCTTTGCTTTATTATAAGGTTCCGGTGTACTCTTTTCCCTTCACTAGGATTTTTTCTACTGGGTTTTTCCTAGTAAGGTTTTAACGAGGCACCCCATCATCGCGAACAAAGGAAGAGGTCTCCCGGTCGGAAGAAGGAAGACTCCATCCTTTCACAAACAATGTGACCAAATTCAAGGCTCATCAATGACCAGCCAGCCGGACCAGAACCGGGCTGATTCCAAGGCGGCTCAACTACTCCCTTTTAGCCGAGTCCACTACTCGACTAAGGGAGTGGGGGACTCGTATTGGGATAATGGGCTAGGTCCAAGACTATCGGCCTGTTATACCTGAGCTTTGGCCCGACCAAGCTTAGAACACAGCCCGGCTGGCAGAAATGGATTTAGGATTATTTGCTTATTAACTGGTCCGGCTGGCCCATTAGCGCCAATATTAGTTCTTAGATTGGGCCAAGCCCATGCAGCCTTTTATTGTTAGACTTTTTGTAATCGTCTATGAATAGGCCACATGATCCTCGTGTAATGCGAAGCTTTTTTCACTATACTGAATTGATGCCGAATTTTCTACCCAGGTTATTTTCTACCAACAACTATTAAATTCCAAATTGATATCAAATTTTCTGTGTCAATCTACACGTGTTATCTATTCATCTATGAATTCATTTAATTATAAAATCACAAAGCACATTCCAGTAAAAAATATCACTGGATAAAAATGCCAAAGTCGAATATCAAATTAAAATACGATAACCCATCAACATTATAAGACAACAAATGTGATACAATGAACAAAACATTGTCATGGTTTGTATATATCTATCTTCTTGTGTATAAATGTATAAAATGAAGATGATATAAATTTGGATACTGACCATTTAACTATTCAAATAAATTTATGTGAAATAATTGGTTTATATCCATTCATTGAACGATATGTCTGAGTCTAACAGGTGATGAGTCGTTCTTCAAATTATGTTTTATGCAACAATGTGGTTCTATTGTTCTAATAAATGAAATAAAATATGCTTCATAAATTGCTTCTCAAATAGCAATACAAACATTTTTCGGGAAGTACAATAAGGGCCAAAGTGGGTGTGAAATTGAATTTCTTTTCTCTTTGTCATAGGAATACTAGTATTAAATAGAATACTCCGTAAATAATTAATGTGATGGATGATGGGCATGATATGGACGGATAACCTTTGTGTTTGGTGGTTGCCTTGTCCACTAGAGGACAACTTTTCATGTCCAGCCGGCCTGACGGATACCGTCATCCGGCCGAGGGCATTTCGAGCATTTCCCTGTGGAATTTTTTGATGAA